TCCCCTCCATCTCTCCATCCTGAATCTGTCCAAGCAATACCAAGTCCAACAGATGTGCCTATCATAATGCCAACTGGTTGGAAAACTGTGTCGAAAGCATTGGTGCACAGCTTAGGCCATGGTGGCATCAGCCCTTGTGCCCATTTGGTTAGAAGCTTGAAATCTCTCTGCACCTGCCTTTGTCTGCTCAATGTGGCATGATTATTGGGTAGATGATGCACTCACTGCTTGCAGTTGAAGCAGTGGTGACCTCTTTGATCAGAGTGAAAATGATTTATCACACTTAACTTCATCTAGGTCTTACTCCTTGTGGGACCTGTGAGAAATGGTAAACAATGAGGTCTGCATTTAAGTCTGTCTTTCTCTTAGCTGAATTTATTAGCGCATTTTAAGAATCCTATTGGTGATCATTTTGTCCTTTTTTATGTCGATCTCTGTGCTTGTGTGTTATTTAGTGCTCAAGGGTGGGTTTAAAAAGCTGTGATTTAACAGCAACTAACATTGTGGTCACACTCCTGATTATTGTTTATTTAATTCATAGTACATTTATACATGTATATTGAGAATAAATATATAATATATATATCTATATGTATATAGATATATATGTATACAAATATATATTCTATATGTAATAATGATATATATGCATAAATATATATATAGACACATCCTTTTCAACATTGTCTCATGGCTGTGAAACTGAATTAAGATTTCATAAATAAACAAATATAAATTCTGCCAAAATTTGCAAACTGAGAACATTGCAGTTTTCTGTATGTAATTATGACGGTGGTGGATTTTAATACGCAAAAAAGTAGCAAAAACGTTTCAACAAAACGTGCATGTTATTTTTGTACAATATCACTTTTAAAGAAAGATGGCAGAGCATTATGCTTTATTTGTGCTGAGGTACCTGAGACCGTGGATAACATGCTTAACTATTAAAATGGACTCCTGGCTGCCCTATTTTGAAGACGAGCAAGACCCAGTTAAACACGTTGGAAAGATCTTCTGGGTTTTGTTCATTATTCAGTTGTAGGGCAACAGTATGCTGATCATTGTCACTGAACTTGTGCTTCTCACCTTGATAATTGTTTTTTTTTTTTCCTCCCTTCCCCTTTCTCTTGTATATACCGTACCTGTAATACCTTCAGATAGATTTGCAGTCCAACCAAATTTTTGGGACTGTTGAGATGGGAGTGTTTTTGTTTCCATTTTCCAGCTTTCTATGTAACAAATTAAACTAAGGAAGCGGTCCTAAAGCTATCCCCTTTTTGCCAAGTTTTTTTCTGTGGATGCAAGACAATCGCAGACCAAATCTTATTGCTGGTTTGTTGACTGAACATATTGTTTTGGTTTGATGAAGGATGTTTGTCGCCCCCCATCCCCTCCCCTCTCCTCCTTCCATAGGCCCTAGGTGCTAGACTTTATCCATCTCACTGAAAAGCTTCTGTGAATTGTTTGATGTGCATCAATCTATTTGTCATAAAGTCTTGTAACATGACATTTTTGAGAATGTTTTTCGACTCTAAATAATTTCAGTAGGCTTGAGTAATTATTTTGGCAGTCTCTTAATGTAATTGAGATCAAACGCAGGATACCTTTTTTGAATGTCTTGAATTTGTCAGATGGAGATGTTTCAATGCTGTTTTGAAACATGACGTGTGTTTTGTATAATACATGTTTCTCTGGTGAGCTTGGTTTTTCTTGCATGTGGTAAAGCAACCCAGTGGCAAGACATCTCCTGGACCTGAGACATGTTTGAGAAATCATTGTTTCCACAGCCGACAGTCTCATCACTGTTTAACCTTTTTTTTTTATTTGTTAGAGCATCACGTTGAACAATGCAGTGGATCACCAACCAACTTGTCCAGTCTTTTGGAAATAGTGAAGCACATGCCACACCCTTTCAAATCTCCTATTTAATTGATTTGTGCTAATTATTTGAAACTTTTAAGATGCAGTGTAATGCTTTGAAGAGAGCACATGTAATATCTTTGGTCTTTATGTTCTGACAAATGACTAAATCAGAGTTGGTGGGTAGAAGGTAACGCCACTTGATCCACTTCAGACACTAAGGCCATCACAATGCTTTTTTTAAAATTTTATTTTTGTTTCCCATACACAACTTCTTGTCAGCTGTCTGTAATTCTCTTCTATCAACTAAACACTATCAACTGCTCTGTGCTAATTTTGAGTTTTTCTCCTGTGTTTGCCTTCTATTTTCATCAAGTTTCCACACACTCTCCATTCAAACATAACACTTTTTACATCTGAGATGTTTTGCGTTCATATTTTCTAATTGTATTTTCAAAAAAAGCAAAAAAAAGCAAAAACAGAACATTAATCTTTTCCTCATGACCTGGGTACAGTGATTGTGTAGTCTATTGTACCTTTTGGGAAACAATACTGTATATCCTTGCCTTTGACAGTCTTAACTATCTTACCCTCTGGAGAACTTGACAGATACCCTTAGAACACAATGAGTATGTTAAAAAAAATATACATAAAGTAATATTTTGCAAAATGTATCATTCCAATAAACTTTTACTTGTTAAGACTAATATGTCTGGGTTATATGTAAGCTCTCTCTTCACCTTGCATTATGTCACACTAAAAAAAAAAAAAATGTTTTTTTATGATATGCAAATCTCGAGGAAGGTATTTGCAGCTTGTGGCTACTCTCTTTGGCTGGATCCGAGGAACAGATGTGTTGGTAGGTGAGGGAGGATGCTGTATTTTCACTGTCCTGTCTGTTACTGTGGATGTTTTAAAGAGGCTGGCAGGTGCAATTGAATAATGCAGTGTTGTGTTCATCCTGTCACAGTACAGGATCAATTACCAGCCAGCTTCCAGCACCCCTCTCCAAATGTATTCCCATCTTCTGTGCTCTCCTTTTTTTTAGGATTGCATGTATCTGCATCAGTTATATGTGAAAGGCTTTGAGAGCCTTCCAGATGGTTGGAGACAGAGCAATTAAGATTAAGTAAAAGACCTCATAATGAATAAATCTGTCAAAGAATGGAAATCGATTAAAGAATTTAAAGTTATTGAGTGCTTGATTTAATTGATACTTTAATAAGACAATTGAAACAGCTGCAAATGAGTAGATCAATCCAAGAATGATGAAATAAAATGTAGATGTGCATATGGAAATACATTAAGACCAACGGGCCTACTTCAGAGATCCATTTAGTAATTATTGGACTTTACAAACAATTGAAAAGTGGTGGTTTATCAGCATAAGTCATTTTGTGAATTTCTTATCTGGTCATAATTGGCAATAGAGACCTGTGAAGTGTGCTAACAAATATTACTGAAGCAATCAAACCATGAAGAACATTAGAAAACTGATTTTCACACAGACTGTGTATATGGTTAGTGCATGTATTAAATGTGGGAGACACAGCAGGCCTCCAATTCTGTTTTGAATTTTGGTGGGATTACATTTTTTGCTAACAACAGGAAAATGACTTTTCAATTACAATTTTAAGTTTTTAAAATATTTTTTATTATATGCGCAGATGATTTTTTTTTTATTAATACCTCTTTTACCGTCTTACCTACTTAACTAATTATTTAATAGTTTCATCTTGTGATAGGGCGACCCCAAAATTCCCAGCTACGCCTCTGGTTCTTTAATTTAATTAAAGATAATGGACGGCGTGATATAGCTTCGGGTATTTAATCAACTAGGGTGAACCGTCGCAGTTGTTGCTATCACACTTTTTAACTCCTCTTTAAAAAAAAAAAAAAAAGACCTTTTGACCCATTATGGCGCACATGGGCCCGAGTGCGCGCGCTCGTCCCCGTTCAGGACTGCAAATTCCACCTTAAAACCCCTCTCTAGTGAAACTTTTCGGCGTAACTCCGTCGGTCCACCTTAAGCGCACACGCAAACGCAGGAGGCGTACAGCGAGGTTTCCGCTTCTCAGTTGGGCTCGGACCGCGGCTCACGAAAAAAAAAAAACAAAAAAAAAACACCGTGTGTAACGTACAAGGTTGACGCACTAAGGTAAGAAGAAAAGCTAAGAGAAAGCGAAGCAACCGAGCGAAAAAATAAAGGGATGTCTGAATCCAAGTACCGAGAATGGATCCTGGACACTATCGACTCGCTGCGGTCGCGAAAAGCCCGGCCGGACTTGGAGAGGATTTGCCGAATGGTCCGGAGACGACACGGGTCCGACCCGGACCGAACCAGGACAGAACTGGAAAAACTGATTCAAGAGCAGACCGTGCTCAAAGTTAGCTACAAGGGCTCCATATCGTACCGAAACGCGGCGAAGGTGCAGAGGAAAAGCAGAAAGAAGAGTGAGTTTACGGCCGCTGGCAGCAGCAGCAGCAGCGGCGGCAGCAGCTGGCTCGGTTCCAGACAGCTGGTATTTCAACCCATTTCACATGTTTACCATACCGTGATACGGGACAATTAACACATGTACACACAGAGATGCATGCACGCAACCATAAACTAAAGTCGGCCATATGGAGGACACAGCCGAGGCGGACAGATACACAATGCCGAGTGCTGACAGATATATCTCTGGAAGCTGCTGATGGCTAATAGATCATGTTAGTATCTGTAAATTCCACCACTTTTATGCTGAAAGTTATGCAGATTTTACATCAGAAACTTATAATAACATGCAGATGTAGAGCCAGAAATATGTTTTTTAGAGGGTCGGATCATGTTTTTATCATTTAAACGAATAAGGTGACTTATAAGGTGACAAAATTAGAGATATTAAAGCATTAAATCCTGGTTCTAGTGCCATTATGTAGTACAGTGGTTCTCAGCTTTGTTCCTTAAGGGACCCATTTTCTATCATTTAGTAAACTGACTAAGTGACATATTTTATGGATATTTCATATTATATTAAAAACTGTACAATTTACCCAAATAGTGATCTCAGAAACTGCAAGATTTGTGTAAAAAAGGATTTGGACAGATTTGAGCAGATTATGTCTCTTTGAGGGACTTTTTGATACAATATCTTGTTGTATTATTAATTTTAAATAGTTTTTAACAATCAATCACTCTTAATAGGCTCCTTTACTTTAAATTCAGTTTTCTTATCCCTGACCACTTGCCATTACATGCTATGTGTACTTTATCTTCTATGAGATCTAATTCACTTGTTATTTAGTGTTACACTTCCATATAGCTGGGAGATTCTAAAAAGAGGTAGATGCTTCACATGACTTTAGAGAGTTCCCTCCAAAGCCAGAGAAGACATTACTTAACTGCTTTTTACGGCTTGAGTGGCAACTCCTCTCGTACCCCTAGTAAACGAACCTGTTATCTGTATATTGCTGAAAGTGCCGTCTTTAAATGAAGATGTCCGTGAAAGAGCGTTAGAGAGGCGGATTCGAGTGTGAAACACACAAACACACGGACTGGACTAATTGCTGTCCTAACGCTCCACTAGCTGTGCCATGGACGTTTATTATGTGTGTGTTGTGTGTGTGTGTTTTATGTATGTATGTATGTTGTATGTGTGGTGTGTGTGTGTGTGTGTGTGTGTTGGCTTTGTGCTAACTAACAGGATCAGTGTAATCACCCTGAACTGCAAAACACACCATGGGGGGGGGGGGGGGGGGCTAAAAACAACAACAACAATAACACATGGTCCTTTGTCTTATGCTCGCACGTCTGGGCAGC